AATATCTAAGTTCGAGGATCTATTATAGCTATTATCTAGGTCCTTATTGTCTGCGCCTTAGAATCTATTATACTTGTTATATAGTGCCCTAGTATCTATTATAGTTGTTATCGAGGTCCTAATATCTAGTACAGTTATTGCCTAGATCCTAGTATCCACTACAATTGTCATCAAGATCCTAGGTGCCTACTATAATTATTGCCTAGGTGCTAGTATCTGGCTTCTAATACATACCATACCTATTACCCAGGATCCAATCCAATATTCATATCATCACTACCATCTCCAATTTCATTTACCACCCACTCACTATGAATGATCATCCCGTACTATGATTCAGGCATCATTCACTGATGAATGACTTACCAATCGATTGATACCTTTTTCCTATTACATTGTTTTGGTACACCCAGTGTATGGATGTTAGGTAGAGGCGGCATAAAGTACACACGAGGAGAGCGCATAGAAGGTAGCGGCAAGTTTTTACGCGGCCAGCCCGAGTGAATGACCGGTCAGAGCCACCTCTCGTTCTCTCAATTCTCGCTCTCTTTCTCTTTCTCTCAAGCAATGGAAGAGAGATTGAACGAGAGAAACACGGCTAGATAGAAGCGACCGATGCAGCCAGTCGACTGCAACGTAGCTGGCCACGCAGACTGATGCATTAGGCAACTTTTAAGGCCCCCTTTCAAATTGACCACTTTCTAGTTTAAGGCTGCTCTCAGACCCATTACAGCTACACTATTGTCTAGGACCATTAAGATATTCTTTCGTCTATTTTGGAAAAATCTTCTACTTGGAATTGTTCGTTAAAATCGTAGAATTTTGAAATTTTTGGATTTAAAAATTTTACTATCTTAACATTTTGGAAATTTAGAATTTTAGATTAAAGAAATTTTAAATTTTGGAATTTCAAACTTTTTGAAACTTTTATATCAAAGAATAGTTGAGGAAGGAAATAGAGGTAGCACGTACCAGACAAATCGTTCTCTTTTCTGTCGTTTTGACCGCAGTCATAAGTCCACGCCTGCACTCTTCAGTGAATAAAAAAAGAATGGAAGAAAAGCGTGAAACGATCGAATCGTCGATGAATTTCCGCGTGTACTCGATTCCAGAGCTTGGCTCTGGAATATAATGCCACCTCGTTAATCCTTTCATCCCTGTGAAACGAGAGCTGAAATTTGTGTCCCTTTTTCTCCCCGACAGATCGAAGGGTGATTGATACGTAATATTCGGATATCGAGTTACCGCGTTCTCTACCCCTATATTCCTATCTTTTTTCTCACTCAGAATCAGTATTGTCCTGCTGAAAATCGACAGATTTTATAATCGGGGTTGTATATTTTAGGGAATTAAAGGGTTCTTGGTATTAAGGATCTAACTTTTAAAAATTCCAAAATTCCAAATTCCAAAATTCAATTTCCAGTATTCCAAAATTAAAAAAGTTCCAAGTTCCCCTTCTAAACCCCTAATTACACTTCAAATCTCCCTCCCAAAAATTTCACTTTTCTCCCTCAGCACCTCATCTACCAAACAATAATTAAAATTTCAATTTGAGAACCCTTCATTAAACCCCGCAACCCCAGCGAGGTATTGTTTTGCTATTTCAATATTTCTCTCAGCATCCCATTCCCATTTTTCTTTTTTTCTGTTGCACATTTGCGGAGCATCCATCTGTCGGATCCAGTTTTCCAGTATCCTTTAGACAGCGGGAGGATCGGCCAGGACGTTTCGGCATTATTAAAATCTTTTAGGCAGCGACACATATTTCGCGTCTCGTTTGTTTTCCCCGTCGCATGCTGACTCGTTGCTTCATTGTTCGAATTTCACCGAGGACAATCTCGTCCTGCCTTCGGCTAATCGTTCGTGGAAAAATTTTTCTGCAAATGGAATTTTTGATAGATGATGATCCTTCCTTTTTTCCCCTATCTTGGGAGCAATTTCCTGAAGATCATCAACTGGTTTACGATCTTTTTTGCTGGATCGCATCAATCATCGTAAAAGCAAGAGACAATTTTGCAAAGCAAGCAACAAATGAAAAGTGAAGGGAAAATGCGAACTCAGCGTCCACGTGTTCCATTCTGCGTTACAGTTTGTTTTTCCAGCGATGCAGAAACTGACGAAAGCTGCTCTTTTAATTTGTTTAAATCTGTGTCTTTCTGCCTACCGGATGTAACACGTGTATCGTTTTTCGAACTCGTGTTACAAAACATTCTTGTTTCACAACTGAAAAATATTGCAAAATTTATCACCTATGAGGTATCAAATGAAAGACTGAAGTTTGATTAAAATTTCTACATAAAATATCTAACACAAGATGACTAATTGCGATGTAATCTCTTAATTTTGAATTACCACAATTATTTTCATAATTAATTTCAGTAACAAAAAAATTCAGTTATCTCTGTATTCTTATTATCGTACCAAGAACTGAAATGTGTATTCAGTAAACACAGAGTTCAGTGTGCTTAACAGTAAGATAATTTTTCTCGCGTGTTTTTACGTATGAAGTCTTGATACATATCTTATAAACGTTGTTTCTTCGTGGTTTTAATTACATGCAAGCCAGAACTTTGCTTGCAATCTAAAACATTCTATGATATTAGCTTTAATATTTTGTCTGATATGTACAATTTTTAAACCAACATTTGGTATCTTGAATAATTTAAAAAAATAGGAATATGGAATACTCTGGTGTTTCAGAATATGGGATACTTACATATTAGCTTGATAATGGGTTATCTATAGCATCGGTGCTTATGTATGATAATCGTGTTATCGGATCATCCGGATAATGCGATTACAACTACCATCCGGATAAATACAGGTACCTGGAAGTTACAGGTATGTAGTGTAATTCCGAAAATCCGATAAAATCAAAAATTTCAAATTTTCAATCCATCATTCAAAATAAACAAAATTTTAACAAAGCTAGATGAAACTTCCAATATTTCCAAATGGAATCGAATTTACAAACCAGAAGATTTTTGACATTTAAAAAAAATGTGTAAAAACTACTTTCTTTTTTAGTCTAATAAATTTAGACAGATAGTATAATAGTATTAGCATAATAGTATTTAATATTTTTCTAGTTTTACCTAGTACCTAATATTTTTTCAATTTCTCCAACATCCAATATATTTTTAGTTTCTTCTGTTATCTAATGTTTTTCAACTTTCTTTTAATTATCTACCAGCGACCCTCTGTTACGCAAAGTGTTAATATTTTTTATTTTTCATTTCTTTTTATTTCGCAATTTGCATATCTTTTGAAATTTCCATAGTCTAGTCTAGCATCGTGGTCTACTGCATTACCAAAACAACATATTTTTGATCCTCTTCTTATCTTGTCCCCATTGTCGTCAAAAATAACACTGCATGCCAGAGGGTAGAAAAAGGTAAAGGGATGAGGGGACTCAATTAGCCCCGCGGAAAACTTTCGTCGTGGGATTACGACGTCAACAACGTCCTTCTTGCCCAACGAAATTGCAGCTCGTCGAAAAGGCACTCTCCCAGACACCCCCGGTTTCCAGGCAGTTTCTCTGGCGCCATGGCGCCTCTATGATCCGATAGCAATTTTACAGCATCCATGTCTTAATTTTCATACGTGAAACGACAGCACGTGTCCAGCACAATTTCAATTATTACATCGTACCGTTAGACAGTTTTTTGTCTTTTGCTTTGTGCAACTCCGTTTGCAATCGTTGAACGGTTGATTGACTATCTGATCGAAAAAAAAATGATTTCGCTGCGGTTTCCCAGCACTGTGAGCTAATTACACTGACGCAACTATGTATAGCCTGCGTGTAAATCGTTTGTCGGCGATCTACAATGCACGTATCGCGAGCAGAAGGGAAAGTCTTTCGATCGATTTCACTGTCAAAAGGTTTCCACGTTTCCCACGACTGCTTGTATACGTAATTAATTACCAGGCTCATTTTCTCTTTAGTATGCGGCAGGGGGTGATGATTATAAAAATCGTGGTGCAATGAGAGATAATATTTTATTATGTTGTATTGTATGTTTTATAAGTATAATTATTAGGGTGTAGGATAAAAAGAACGCGATATATTGGGTAGACAGGTTGATCGAAGGGTTAAATTTGTCCATCCGATCGATAGATGGATAAACAATACTTTGCTTCCCTCGTCTTCCATAAATCTTTCAGGAAGAAGATTCCGGTTCGTTTTATAAATATGCATGCCATTTCGGTTGACATAGATTGGTAATAATTCAATTTATCTGGGAATTCATTTCTGCAGGGTCGTAGTTATTTCTGTAAATACCAAACCCTGGAATATCGTTAAGGCGATGCTATCAGATCCACGAAAAGGGACTGTTTTCAAGGGACCAAAGAATAATTTCATTTTGGAGGATTAAATTTGTAACCGTTGCTTGTTCAAGTTAATCAAATATTCTTCTTGCAAATATTATACAAATGGTAATGAAAGAATATCAGAAGTGAACTTAATTAAAAATATCACAATTTAAAAATCCGAAAAAAATTATCACAATTATTTCTCGAAGTTGCGAGCCCCAGGGCTAAAGTTGAAATTATTGAAAATATTTAATTAGGACACGTATATTTTATATTTTACATTTATTTTAAAACTTGATATCATAAAATTTAATTAATTGCACAGTATTTTAAAAGTATTCAAACACATGGCCCGATGCTAGAGCCGGTTCTGACAATAATAATTAACAATTGAATGAAGTTAAATTTTACCAGCATGCATTCGACAATTGGGTTATTAAAAATACTTACAATCTCTTTTTATTTTTCATTAGGTTCTCATTTCTGGAATTAACAAAAAAGGGCAAGTGTCGCGATAAAATCGAAATTGTCTCGCGTTAAAATTTCAGATAACCGGCTTTAAAACGAACCGAAAGCCTGCAGATTCGAAGTGAAATAGCGTAATCTAGATCACTCAATCATTCGTTATCGAGCCATCCCCATAGGCTCTCTTTTTATTTTTTTTTATTTTTAAATGTTCCACTCACCTGGTCGACGATCTCCGTTAGGTCATGCAGACTTATGTTGTAAATGGCGTTCCTGAAAAAAAAAAAGAAAGAAAATAGAACGTTAAGTGTTACATCGTAAATCTTTCCCTATCTCTGACAACAAGGGATAAGCATTGGTAATTACGAGAAACAGAAGACTGAGAAATTGAGAAAAATGAAAGAAGAGAAGAAAATGTATGGTTTCTAGAAAAAATTAGAAAATTATTAGGAAAAATAAGGGTTAGATGGAATTTGAAAATATTGTATAAGAAAGAAATACTGAAAATTGATGGAAAATCATAAGAAAATTATTAGAGAAAATCAGTAGATTAAATTGCAAATTAGAAAATTCTTAGAAAAAATACATTTTCCTTTATATAATCATTCATTTTTCTTTCAACAAATTTCTAAACTAGAAATTTATATATTTTTTAAATTAAAACAAATCATGCAAAAAAGGATTAATTTTAAATTATGCAATTTAAAATGCATCATTTCATCAACAATAGAAAGTTAAAATTTCTCAATGAGTGACTGAAAAGATTCTCATTGTCTTTTAATTTTACGTGAGAGAGTTTGATTATTGTCTCTGTTAACACTGATGTATAATTTTCCTTTCTCATGAAAATTCTTAACTATCTCGATGCTTCATCGTGAGCAAATAACATTTTCACAGATATTATGTTTCCGCGATGCCCTTAATTCACCTGGCAATATTTATTTAATCTTTCATCGTTAAATTAGCGACAGAGAAAACTCCTGTTCCTTTAATTGAGATTCATGCAATTGAATCTCATTAAACGCAAGTGTATTTACCGCTAAATTTCCTCTGAAACAGTTCCAATTCAGCGTGTTCAAGATTTAGATCCATTAATTAACTGACCAAAGAGCTGAGCCGGTTGTTATTGTTACATCGGTTAACCGAGCAATTATCTGACGTGGTAATAACACTAATACTAATCGCGATTAGATCGACCACTTGATATTGCAATCCAGTTCTAAAATTTTAGGATTTTAGTACTTTAGATCTTTTGAATTGGAAAATTTCAAAATTTCAGAATTACAAAATTACAAAATTACAAAATTACAAAATTGCAAAACTCCAAAATCCCAAAATTCTGAATTTATTCCACCTTAGAAAATATCTACCTTACTGCAATGTCTGCTAGTAGAATATGTTTTCTGATGGTTGTACACATGGATCGATGGAAGGACTCATGTAAAATTAAAGAGGACACGTCATAAGGGGTTGCAGCCTCGTAATCGAGGGAGTGATTCGTGGGGAAGTTTCGAGGGTCACGATGACCATCTGCTAACAAAGAATAGAATCACGTAATAATTACCTGGCGCCAATCAGGATGGAAGTGGACGCGCGCTCCAGGAGCTTGAAGTGCTCCACGTGGCTCTCGTTTCCTAGGAACCGCTGGCCAACCACATCCCCTGGAACAAACAAAAAGTCGAACTCCTTCAGAAACTTCTGGAAAAACTTTGGATTAACACGAGCGGGTCGCTGTGTGCCGCAACCGTTAAATACTACCCTTTGCGCACGCGATATCGCGTGAACGAATTTTTGTCGGTGTGTGACCCCACGCGATATCGCCTGAGCGAACTTATTTTTAAAAATTCAAATTTTTTTTATACGCGAATGCAACGGACGTCTTTGAAGTCATAAATTGTCGTCGTTCAATGGCGAGTACTCTTCGGGAACATCTCGAAAAGTGTCGAACGCAGATCCTTGCCAACTTTCAAAGAATGACTGGTACAATCGGATGAGCACCGATGAATGCTCTCCCTTCTCCCTGAGCGGAGGCTTTATTGCGGTCGCGGATGAAAAAGCATAACCACGAGGAATAAAGAGAACACGAGGAGAAGGAGAAACATCGAAGGGTGGCTCGTAAAATGTTGTAGGGAAAAAGGGAGCTGACACAAAGTAGACGTAGCTTTATCGTCTTCTGAAAATACTAACAGACGCTTCTTTTCCTTTTTTTTTTTAGGTCATCCCTTAGATAGAAAGGAGATCTAAGTATTAAGTTGGTTTGAAAAGTTGAAACTCTGGCACAATTTCATGACAGAAAAGTTTCTCAAAATAAGACTTCCGACGTATCAAATTAAAACTCAAAGTTTCCTTGAAATAACCATGTCAATGCCCCGGGAATATCTTTGATACAAAATGGCTGGTCGTGAATCGCAACGGACAATGTTCTATAGCGAATGGTAATGCACTGTTTGCTTCAACAAAGCACCAGCCATTTTGTATTAAAGATATCAATGAGACATTTATGTCATTGTTTTCGATAAACTTTAAGCTTTAATTTGACACATCAGAAGTGCCATTTAGAAAATCTCTTCTGTCATGAAATTGCATTAGACTTCAGATCCTCCGAAATCGAATGAATATTTCTTCCCCGAAAATCCCGCAATTCTCTTGAACACTATGGCGAATTTACACGAGCCCGTATCCCGAAGAACTGGCACGTATGCAGGTGGAAACTGTTGAAACTTTCTAAGCCATTTGCAAGCGGCTGGTATCCTCCTTCGTCACGGCATACCTCGCCTCTGTTAATTTCGCCACCGTTGTTCTTTACGAGCGACCGATGCATATGGATGCACAGCTTGCCTACCTTTGCCATTCTGCAACGTACAAACACACACTGTGTTCTGGCACGCGCCACGCCGCTTACAACGTAATTTCTTATTCGCGAGGCGTTAGGCACGCGACCGATACGGATACCCATCGATCTCGCCCATAGGAATAACGCCATTCGGTGTCTTAATTCAATTTTCAACGCGCGATCAAACTCTGCATACCGGAAACGACAGCACCGATTTGTCCGATCACTTGTCAATCAATTCAATTGCTTTCCACGATTTGGCTTGATTTTGATCCATGAAGAAAGGCGGACCAATTTTGAATCTTTGCTCAGTGGAATTTAATTATTAAACAAAATATACTTATTTAATTTTTATTCACAATTACCATTAAGATTTAAAAAATGAAAATAATATTTAAAAAATTAAATTATGATTTGGGCTCTCTCCATGGTCCGCCGTCCGGGGGTTAATCGAATAGCAAGTTACATCCACCTTAAAAGGATCTCCAATAAAAGGATGATACTTTATCGCAAAGTTTTTCAGGGTATCCTATTTACAAGTTTCCTGCGTTTTGTAAAATTTACTAAAAATTAAAAGTTGCTTCGAAAGTTTTGCTAAAAGTGCGAAGTTGCGAAATGGAAGCGAGCTACTTAAATTTAAGCGAGCGAAACTAAACATAGTGATTACAATGGCAACGTTGACATTAGAAGGTCTCCTCTATCGCATGGAAAGGGTGCATTGCACTTGGGATCGGAAATTTACCGTAACTAACGGTACACCCGGTACTCTTGCACTTGTAACCGGTACCTTGAACCAGGGAAATTTTATTCTTCCCATTGAGGAATCGTTCCACATATTTTTTATACAATTTAATTCACGCGTTTGCGACAGAGAAATAAGAGGATTTTAAGCGTGTTGACAATACGACGTGTAAATTATAGCTATTGTTATAGCGATAAGGTAAGTCACCTAACTTGTACGAATAAGCGGACACAGTAGCCTAAAAGTAATGGACACTTTGCACGCAGCCGCGTTTTATAATTCATGCTAAGTTAACCCTATTTTCAAGCAGGAAATTTCACAAACCTTATCTATTATATTCATGAAAATTATAAATAATTTCAAGCGCTTAATACGAGGATTTTCCTATATTCTAATCCTGATCTATTATTTTCACCAGATTATAAATAATTTAAAGTATCTAATATGGAAATTTCTAATTAAATAGGGTATTACATTTGTGTTAGGAGACTCGTAGCGCAAAGACCATCAGCTTGCCAACTTTTTCTCTCCCTTTTCCTGTGTATTCTCCGAAGTTGGAAAAGCGTAATATAAAAAACGAGTGGAAAGCTCAAGGGAGGCTTGAAACGCGTCTGGAACACCGATCGTGAATGAACGAACAGACTCGTGTTTCGCTGATACCATGGGTGGAGAAAAAAGAGCTGTCGGGAACTGTTAAACGAAAAGTCATCGCGTTTACATGGTTCAGAACAACGCTTGTTTTTTTTTTCCTTTTTAAAATATTTAGCAAAGCTCGTGTAACGCTTTGAAAGTTTCGTCTGGTACTAGCTATTCCAAAGTTTAATCAGCTCAGTTGACATTTTCTTCGTTCTTGTTGCAAACTGGCTTTGTTATACATCCATCGGATGTAAATGAGAATTTTTTAGAAAATGTTCAATATGGTTTTTTTCCATAAAACTTTAAACTTTAAATTAATGGGTCACAGGTAATATTTTCAGCTATTTTTCTGTCATAATATCGTTTTAGAATTTTACCTTTCAAAATTTGTCATTTGACAAACACTAAATATCTAACAATTTTCTTTTTTTAATAACTTTATCAATATTAACTATATTAAGGGTGCATTTGTGTAATAATTTTCAGTAAACTTTAAGCTTTAATTTGGTGTATCACAAGTGTTATTTTAGAAAACTTTTCTGTCATGAAATTGTCTTCGAATTCTTGCGACATATAACCACACTGTTCGTTGCGATCCATAACTGTTCAACTAGTATCAAAAATATTTAAAGGTACACTTATATAATGATTTTCAGAAGATTTTGAACTTTAATTTGATATATCACAAGTGCTATTTTGAGATACTTTTATGTCATGAAATTGTGTCAGACTTACCATGAATTAATTTATCTCCTCTTCGAGTATTCTTACCAGACAAGGTTACACTTCCGGTGGTAATTTTTACACCGATCTTCATCTCCAATAAAATCGCCTAACCGCGTAATTTCACCAGGTTATTTCACTTAAGCCACTAAATACGAGATACATCTACTTCACCGAATTTACATTTATATTGGCTTATTATTCACCGTCGTGGCTTCTTCTCACAAAACTCGACTTCTTTTTTCTTTTTTTTTCTTTTTTTTATATCTTCAACTTCCTTTCCAGCGATGGCTAAATGTATGCCACTCTTAAGAGCTCGCCGACCGGAAGCATAGAAGATGAAATTTACTCAGCACTCTCGATCGCCCCTAATACCCAACGTGGAGCGTGGTTGAATTGGAGCCAGGGCTGATTCGACCCGGCGAACGTACGCCTATCTACACCACTGCTGGTAATTAAGTCTAACAATAGCAAGCGTGACGATCGATTTGGCTAGTCTACGACCGACGAAATGTCACCTCTCTTCAACGAACCCTTACTTATCATATTGAATTTAATATCCCGAATTTATGAAAACTATCAGCTTTAAAATTCTATCGATTTTCTATACTGTTCTTTGAGAACGGAGGACATTTTGTCGAGGGAAAAACAATTTTCAAGAAACGATTAGATACAATGGAGTTCTGATAAATAAATCAGACCTACTGCGACACGATGATCTTGTTAACGTTAAGTACCCTGATTTATCGGATTGTTTGTGTCGAAACACGAGAAAAGGGGAAAATGTATTGTTTGTTGACTACTATGAGGATCGTCAGTGACCGATTATTCAAGATAACAAAGTGAAATTGAAACTTTACGAAGTCTCAGATAATTTCATGATATAAAAGTATTTTCAAATGGTACTTATGGTACATCAGATTAAAATTTAAAGTGTGATGAAAATTATGGTATAAATGGTTCATGACTAACTTAAATACAAAATAATTGATGATCATTCGAATGGATCGAAGGAAAATTCATATAACTGGAATTAGAACTTAACTTTCCTATCCGTCATTATTTCACCATTTTGCTCGCAATATTGTTCGAATAATCCTCGTAACGCATATAATCGTATTAAAACGATCATCCGATTAGCAGAACTTTCTTCGAAATTTGCTCGAACAGATTCGCTATTTGTTATTCAGCGGAACATCCAGCGTTCTTCTCGCTAAGGATAAAAGTCTGGGTCATATCGATCCGCTTAATGCGACGATTTATCGAAATGTATAGGCAAGAAGAAAGGCGAAACGGTTTGGTAGAACAAGAGGAGCCCGTTAAAAACCCGCTTGAAACGAGTGCACACGCTTGATGGGAGGGGAAAAAAAAAGAAAGAAAAAGCACCCTTGCCTTCTGTGTCGGATGGAAAGCCACAGGCGTAGCCCTGTGTCACTCTACCAACGAATGGGCACGGGTAACCTTTTCGCTGTTCTCTAGTGGCATAGCTTTTCGAGACCTTTCTGCGCTCTTCAGTCATTTGTAAAAACGCGCGATACTCGAAGAGTAAAGCCGTCAAAGATTCACTTCTAATGCACCGCACCTTTAAGACAATTTTTTCACCCTCAGACGGCGGACCATGAAGAGAGGCGGAATTTTAATATTGCATTTCATTTAAAAGCTACGCGTCTAACTTTAAATTAATAATGACCCAGACTCCGTTGTTCAAAGGTTAAATCATTTTTTAT